AAAAAAAAAACAGTAATGATTTTTACTATTAATTAGATGGACGAACAAGGAAACCAAGATGGGTTCGGTTGTGGGTTGTTTGCGTTTCTTTGTGGGTTTATTTGTTGGTTGTTTTTAAGTTGTTTGTGTTTGTTTGAGGCTTGTTTGTGTGTGTGTGCATTTGTGGTTCTTTGTCTGTTTGTTTGTTTATGAGTTTGTTTGTGGGTTTGTTTTTTGTGTTTATTTGTTGGTTTGTGGTTCTGTTTGTTGGTTTGCTAGTGGATTTGTTTGTGGGTTTGTTTAAGTGTTTAATTGCATTTGTTTGGGTGTTTCTGTTTGCGTGTTTGTCAGTGGGTTTATTTGTGGATTTGTTGTGGGTTTTGTGTATTTGTTTTTTTAAATTTTGTTTGTGTGTTTGTTGTTATTTGTGTTTGTTTGTGAGTCTGTTGTGGTTTTGTTTGCTTGTGGGTTTGTTTGTTGGTTTGTCTGTCGTTTTGTTTGTTTGTGTGTATGTTTGTTTGTTGGTTTGTCTGTGGTTCTGTTTGTTGATTTGTTTGATTTGTTTGCATTTTTGTGGGTTTATTTGTAGATTTGTTGTGGTTTTGTTAGTGGGTTTGTTTGTGTTTTTTTGTGAGTTTGTTTTTTGTGGGTTTGTTTGTTTGTGGCTGTTTGTAGGTTTATTTATATGTGTTTGTTTGTGAAATAGGAAGAAACAGTAAGGCTCTTGACTATTAAATAGACAAGGAAAAAAAATAGACAAACATATAAACATAAAATCCCAGGCTGCGTACACTCATCCTTGATCTTAATTGATAATATAATAACCCTTTTCATCAAGAGTTTTATAATGACGATGACTGAGGATAATAGAGAACCGTAACAAAATTTAAATTACATTGGAATCAATAACTTATAATAAGTTACTGTCCACTTTCAGCAAAAATGATAATAATGGTAAATATGATAATGATAAGAGTAATATTAATAAGATGCCAATAATAATTATAATAATGATAATGGTAACAATAATAGTGATAAGACACCAATAGTAACGATAATGATAATAATGATAATAATGTTAATAATGATAATGATAATAATGTTAATAATGATAATGATGATAATGTTAATAATGATAATGATAATAATGTTAATAATGGTATTAAAAACAATGATAATAATAATATTGATGATAATAATAATAATAGTAATAATGATCATATTAATGATAATGATAACGTTAATAAAAGTATTAAGAACAATGATAATAGTAATATTGATAATAATAATAATAATAATAATAATAATAATAATAATAATAATAATAATAATAATGATAATAATAATGATTAACTAATTGATAGTGATAACAGTGTTATTATTATTAATAATGATAATAATAATAATGGTGATGACAACAACAGCAATAATACTAACAATCATAACAGCAGTGAAAGCAGATCAGCTTTAAAAGAAAACGAAATATATTCCTTTCCTGCCACAGACGACAGCGGCTACTGATCGGAGTGATGTCAGTGATAACTTCTCGTCGACGTCACAGCGAGAGAACCTGGTATGTAGTGGAGGTCAAGTGGAAGATATCAAACACCAATATCATTAATTAAAAGCTTAATTGTTTTCAAGCCATTAGAGAGGATTTCGCTGGTATCGTTTTACTTTCATGTCGATTTGTGTCGATAATGATCTGTTTTCCATTTGTTGTTATTTTAGGCTGTCGTACAATAACACTTGATTATAAAATACTTGATTGCTATATTCTCTGTTTCTAGTTCCACATTAAATCACGTATCGCTCATAATGTTTACTCTTTGCAGATTGAAGATGACGGTGACGACGATCGGTGGATCACACAGACTTCCTCCACAACAATTAGAGTGTATGTTTATGTTTTTTAATTTCTCTCTCTTCTCTTCTTTTCTGTCTGTCTGTCTGTCTGTCTGTCTGTCTCTCTCTCTCTCTCTCTCTCTCTCTCTCTCTCTCTCTCTCTCTCTCTCTCTCTCTCTCCTCTCTCCCTCTCTCCCTCTCTCCCTCTCTCTCTCTCTCTCTCTCTCTCTCTCTCTCTCTCTCTCTCTCTCTCTCTCTCTCTCTCTCTCTCTCTCTCTCTCTCTCTCTCTCTCTCTCTCTCTCTCTCTCTCTCTCCCTCTCTCCCTCTTTCTCTCTCTCTCTCTCTCTCTCTCTCCCTCTCTCTCCCTCTCTCTCTCTCTCTCTCTTTACTTATCTCTTTACGCATTCTCATCTGTTTCTTATCATTTATATGTATTTACTCTATGGAAATACTGTTGACAAAATCTAGTGAGACTCGTATATCTCGCTCATGTACTTCATCAATATTATTACTATCGTTATGATCATTATTATCATTATCATTTTTTAATTGTTATTATTTTCTTCAATATCATTCTTATTATTGTATTTACGAAATTCTATAAAGACTTAAACGTAGATGGAAAATGTAATTAATTTTTTCTCGATTTTACTTCCAGCGAGGATGACTCACAAGAAGACGACCTCGAGCAGTCTTCCAGCTTTATCAGCAGCAGCAGCACGAGCAGCAGCACCAGCAGCACCAGCAGCGGTCGCGGCTTCAGCTCCCAGAGCACAACCAACAAAGCCCAAGCCTATGGCAATGGCGGTAAAGACTTGGGGGGAAGGCCATCTCAGGGCTCTCCAAGACCGCCGTACGTTCCCCCGGAGACACCAGGCGCCCAAGACGGGAGGGGAAGGGGCAGCACAGAGGGAGGTCGTCATACCTGGTCAGGGGGGAACAGAGGTCAACATGGCGGGTCAGGCTGGAGAGAAGGTCATCATGGCGGGTCAGGCTGGAGAGGTCATCACAGGGCTGAGAGCACCACGAGCAGGAAGTATTATACCGACGCTAGCGGAGGTACTGGGTCAGGCTGGGGCGGTGCCAGCGATAGAAATGGAGGTACTGGTTCAGGCTGGGGCGGTGCCAATTCAGGTAGCACAGGGGCAGGCTGGGGCGGTGCCAATTCAGGTAGCACAGAGGGAGGCTGGGGCGGTGCCAATTCAGGTAGCACAGGGGCAGGCTGGGGCGGTGCCAATTCAGGTAGCACAGGGGCAGGCTGGGGCGGTGCCAATTCAGGTAGCACAGGGGGAGGCTGGGGTGGTGCCAACGGGGGAAATGGGTGTAAAGGAATACCGCCTGGCTCTCCGAACTGGGTGCCAGGACTGGACCAGTGGTGTGCTCAGAACTGCGCTGCTGGTTACTGCCCCGAAGCTCAGTGTGTGTGTTGAAGCCCCTGAGTATTCACGGCACAGCCACCTTTGTATTTTCTCTTTCCATCTGAATGTGTTAACAATGTTATTTCTGTGGCATTTGATTTTAACAGTGTATTTCAAGCCCATGATTTCAGTTATTTTTTCATTTTTACTATTTGTGTTGTATTATAATTTCATTAATTTTTGAATATTGTTACACATTTTGTGGCAGAGAAGCAACACTTCAACAATTAATTATCCTGCAACCTGTATTTGTGGTCTTTGTTTGTAGAATAAAAGAACGCTCATAATTGTAACTTCAGTACTTCCTAACGAATAATGTTTGTGCAAAAACAATACTCACACACACAAGTACATTAATACATGCATACATTATATATATACACAATATATGTCGCGAGTGACTCAGTTACGGAGGCCAGTGCCGGAAATGTATGCGTTAAGTATACTCTACGAGGAACTTCGTCATAATTGAATTAATTATTTTAGAGTTCTCTTTATAAATTTTACGTTGCATTTTAATAAACATATTACACACTGAACTGTAGTAGCGTGTGACCCGAGTTGAATATAGGGTAAATGGCCAAGAGGGAATCTAATAATTGGTGAATTTGAGGTAAACAATACGTATGTGTATGTGTGTGTGTGTGTGTGTGTGTGTGTGTGTGTGTGTGTGTGTGTGTGTGTGTGTGTGTGTGTGTGTGTGCGTATATTGAGAAAAAAAAACTACAGAAAATCACAATCTTCAATGTCATCACTCATAATATGTCTTAAAGTCTTAAATGTCTAGTAGGTCGTTCGGGTCAGTATATTTAATCTATATTCATGTTTTCATCTTTCATGAAATTTAAGCATTACTCGAAATGATTGAAAGTCACTTTTCATAAGCAAGAACATATTAGTGTTATACTAAACGATTGACATCGTATCTTTACCTTTAAAAACAAGCTCGCTAGGCACTGGCAGTAGCGCAGGAAAGTTGTTGCAAAATTACAAATAATATAATACACAGAAAAAAAATATCAAAAACCGACAGCATAGCATCCTGGCGAGCCTCAGCCCGTTTTCTTTAGATTGATATTTAAGGGATACTTTTCTAGGCAAGTGAAAGTTTTCCACTTCGGTACTATTAATCATAAACAAGAATGGAAAACAAGAAATCCGAGCCAACTTTTGAATCTTGAGCTATGAGGTAAATAGCAAGATAAATAAAACATGAATTAATCTTTGCCTTATATTTATATATGAGTTTGTATATACATGAATGAAGTATTCGAACTAGTGTTGTGAGGAGGATTCGAAACAGCCTATTCGCACTCTGATGGACATTTCTTTCTTATTCACTGTATCGTCTCTTGGTTATTTTGAATGAGTAGGCAATTCGGGAATGAAAATAGAATGGCTTTAAAATAGTTTTCCATCTTGGAATTACTCTTTCATCCCCTTATAAAGTCCAAAATATAGATGTCTTACTCTGGATTATCTGTAGACAAGTTTATAATGCAGCTGCCAGGTTAAATGACTGTGCAGGTGTTGCGTCTGGCGAAAGTTCTCCTGTTTTATGCCGCGCTGTTACGCTCCAGCCTTCCTTTCTACATTCTTCCTATCTGCAGTAGCTTCTGTCATCATGGTTGCACTGCTGGTAGATACGTTTGATCACGACACGCAAACACACACACACACACACACACACACACACACACACACACACACACACACACACACACACACACCTATAGTTTTTCGGTCTATAGGTCATC